TCTGCAGAATGACCCGAGTTCCATGGCAAGAGGCTGTATCAGACCGCTGCTTCTTTATCCCTCGCTCACAAACCCTGACCAAAGGTGATGGTATTCCTACTTAGTTAAGGAAACTCCAGCTGCACATTTGATTTCTGTCGAAACACAAGGTGTAACCACGTGCAGCTGCATGGCACCGGCCGATTTCAGCAGGTCGGCGGGCGTTGTTGGCACTTCTTTGGACTGACGTTTTGCCACCCAGCTGGTAAATGAAATCCGTCACATATTTGCCTCCGGCATTATAGTCAGTTCATTGATGGTGCTCAGCACCTCCTCTGTGCCCAGAAAAACGCACATTTCTGTGAGTAGAGTGCATCCCACGCAGTTCTGTCTAATTCTTGACACATTTCAGTATTGTTTAGTGGTAAGCTCTGTGACAAAGTCTCCCAGACTTGCATTTTAACTTGCTTTTGGGCAGGTATGAGCACAGCATCACAGCACCAGCAGTGCCTGGTGCTTTCTGTCTGTCTCACTCTGAGGATCAGATCTCTGGGGAAGATCTGATCATTTACTTTATGCATTCATCTGAATTTATTTAGAAGATCTCTGTGCTTGTAAAAACAACTAAATCAGTAAAAGGACAGAAGGAAAACAGTGGGAAGCATCCAAGGACCAGATTGACTTGGGGTCGGGGACACACACTGTTTTCTTTCCTGCATGTGTCCTAAAAGGCCATTGCAGGAGATGTTTGGAGAGCTGTGCCTCTGTGCTTTCAGCCACAGGTGATGCTCTGGCCTCTGCATCACTCAGTGCTCCTTCTGCACACTTGTGTTTGCACTGTGGAATCCAGGGGAGTTTGTCCCTTTAACAAAATTGTTATTGAGTTTTCATTCTCTGCCAGTTCAGGCCCCTCAGCAGCTGACTATACTAATCAGAGCTGACTATTGCCTATGCCCACTTAGCCCATATTTAAGTGCGGCAGCCTGAATTTGTCTTCGGTGCAGCTTCCAGAAGATACAAACCCAGGATCAAAGCAAATCAACACACAGGAGTGTTGTGGTACAGGATCCCACTAAGATGGAGCTGGAGGAGCTCCAGACTCTGTGGATGCTCACGGAACAATAAGGAGAGAAGGGGGTGGCCCTGCTTTTGTTTTTGCAAAGCTTTTTCCACACTTCTTTCAGTCAGGCAGAATAGCAGACCACGAGGATTCTTATTTACAACAGACACTATCAGTTTTTTTCTTTATAAAAGTGATAGTAATTGTCCAAAGTATGATCAGCCTCATGAAAATATTCTTCTACTCCTTTTCCTGACCTGACCTCTGACTTTGGTGCCTCTCAGGTTTCCAAATGAGTACAAACACATTCGCCATGGTTACAGAGGAGCTGGACATCACTCTTGCTTCCACGTGAACCACCCAAAACGATATTCTACAGAAGAAGGTGCTGGATGACAAAAATGAAGACGGTTGGTTCCCTAAAGCTTAGCTGGCATTCTGTCCTCAATGGTGATTAACTCGTTTGTATTCCCAATCCTTTTAAGAGGTTGCATAAAGCTTCAAAGCAGCTCAGGTGCTCGGTGGGACAGCAAGCGGCTCCTGCCAGGTTGGACACCAAAGGGGAATCCCGTTCACACTAGAATGAATTTGGTTGTTTTTTTTCTCTGCCTCTAATGGAGTTTCCATTCCCTTTTCTATGCCTAAATGAGAGTGGGATTTTACCCATCTTCTCATATGACTGTGGTGCAAACCTGAGGTTTAATTTTAGTCTTTTTGAAGGGGGAAAAGTGAAGGCAAAGCTGCGTAGGCCCCGAGAACAGATGCATCTACAGAGGGAGAAGCACACTAATACTTGTGGGGCAGCACAGGGCTGCACATTGACAGGCTCTATATATTCTGTATATTACAAGTAAATGTGACTAAAATATTCCAGAAACGTTAGCTATATTCTTTAAATCCAACCCACTAATTATTTAATCATCTCCCAACTTTGGTTTTGCTAAATAACCAATACCATCGTTCGGAGCCGAGAACTTAATCTGCAGAAAATTCTGTCCTCGGAGAAGATCAAAGTGACTTCAGCAGTGTTAAGCACACACCTACAGCTCTTGATCCAGAAAAAAATGAAGCTTGTGTTCAAATCAGCCTATCGCTGCATATAGGTCCCCATGCATTAACCTAAGCCCCAGTGCCGGGATCAAGGACCTGTAAAGATCTTAGAAAGCAGAGATCTGGAAAAGTGACAAAGGCACCAGAACACTGCCAGGCTGAAAGGGAAGTGCCTGCTCACTCCTCTGCGCCCACCGTCACCATCATAAAAGACAGCGAGTCTCCTCGGTGACACAAATAAAAACATGTGTACATTGGAACACAAGGGTGCAATGGCTCTGTTTCTCAGGCACAGCTCAAACGAATGAAGGACAACTAAAGAAGAAGGAGCTTAAATTCTTTACTTGGCACAGTATCGAGGTACCAGCATTGTGCCAGCATGATACTCCCCATGTTCTGCCAGTCTCAGAGCGCAGCACCTGAGCCACATCCCAGGCCCCAGCGTGTATTGCACTGCCCCAGCCCCTGTGGATCCACGCAAGGGTGCTGCTTCTGCTTTGTCACCTCTGTTTTCGTCCAGGCTTACCCCAAGCCTCCCAGTGGCTGCTGCACGAAAAAACAGAGCATCACGTTGAAATTACAGGCATGCTTTGCAGTGAGACAGGGTTGGGTGCTGGTTTGGGTCTTGGCACTGTGTAAGGCTCCTCTGAGTGTTGGATACATCCCACAGGGACAGGCTGTAAACATGTAAACACATATTTTCTTTGCTGTTCTTATTTTATGGCAAAACTCAGTCACCCTTTGGCTTTATAGCTGCTGACACGTCCTTGCAACGCAGCGCTGTCAAAAAATAATAGCAACCACTCCAAGGGTTTGGCACCCATTGCAGAGAACAGCCACAGCCACGGTGTGCCGAGCAGTGCACAGGTTCTGTTGTGCCATCATCTGCCTCACCGCTCCTGCTTAACTTCTGGAGAGATGTTAGCAGACAGTGCGTTCTTTGGAATGAGGCAATTAAAGCCATCCACGTGGAAACTCTTCAGCTTTGCCACAGGGAGGGCAGCCCCACGCTCGCTCAGCCTGCTCCCTGCTGCGGCTCTACCTGCCAGGGGTCTGGATTCAAACGCTGCAAATACAACACAAGCTCTGGTCAGACCATCACATTACTGTGATTAATACATGCCATGACATCCCACAGGGTTTTGCTGCACTGTAGCAGTGTTGGAGTTTGCTGAGCTCACCGGGCTCACAGGATGGGCTGTCCGGGTTTGACCCTGCTCTGCAGGAGGAACCAGCAGGCACCCTGCAGCTGGATCCAGAGCTGTCCCCATGTGTGCAGTGCCTGCAGGCAACCCAGCCCTCTGGGGCTGCGCAGCCCACGGCATCCCTCTGCGGGGACTCAGCTTTCAGCATCACACCTGCAGAGCATGCGGTGCTCTCCCTGGGATGGAACCAGTTCCACACATGATGCACTGTGCAGGCAACAGCATCCTCCCAGTGACTGCCGCTCACTTAGCCGGGCTGCCCTGCAGAGCCACATCCCAGCTCAAGTGATAAGCAGAGGGATGCCGCATTTGGCAGCTACTTGCACCTTTCCTGAGAGAAGGTGGGAAGGAGTTTTGCTACATAGACTGGAGAAAGGTTGCCTTCTTTCATGGGACCAGCTTGTGGTCCCACAAAGCACCAGCTCTCAGTGGGAAAACGAGCTTTGCCACTTGCGGCAGTTCACATAGCCACACCATGCTTCCTCTCCTGTAAAAGAGCAGAAATAATAACTGAATGCAGAGGTACCCACTGCCTTGCCCTCATCAATAACAGCAGATGCTCCTCAGGGTTATCGCTGTAACATCACTTCCCTTTCTGTGGTGGCATTAGGTTTCCTGTAGCAAAGTCCATTGTCCAGAGCCTCCTTTGGGTTCCGTTCTGCCCCCAGAGCTGTGCCAGGGGGATGGAGCAGTGCAGAGCAGGAGCCCTGAGCTGGGAATCGAGTACCGTCGTGGGCATCACAGCAGGCAGCAACGCCCGGGTCTGCAGCACCGCAACGATGCGGCTGAAAGGTAGCAAAAGCCGACCTGTTGGTGTGAGCGTTCTGCCTTGGAGGGGGCTTATACGACGCAGATGCCCGCAGCGGGTGGGGCGTAACTCTGGGACCCTAGCGATGCCTTCAGCCTTCGTGGCAACGCTTCAGGTGCTCCCAGAGCAAAGAGAAGCGGCATTGAAGTCCCGTCCATTAGCGTTACTCGAAGGAACGAGAGGGAAGCGGCCGCAGCGCCCCGGCCCGATGCCCCCGCCGTCGCACGGGATGTTGCGGGAGCGGGACGGGGCCACGAGCCGCCCCTGGTCCTGGGAGGAGGGGAGAGATTCACGGCGGAGAAAGGGAAGGAAAAAAGCAGTCCTATGAGGAAGGAAGCGGCAAATGTTAAATCAGTGACTCATGGTGCGGAATGACTAATCACGTCAAAGAGCAGCTTGTTTGGGGCATGGACTCGGTGCCGAAAGCCGGCTGGAGAAGGCGGAGCGCTGCGGCGCCCAGAGGGGCTCGGCGGCCGGAGCGCCCCGGTGCGTTCCCCGTGGGTCCCGCGGGCAGTGCGTGCCGGGCTGCGGCCACGCCGTACCTCAGCCCCACCGGGCGGCACTGACCCACTTTCCGCCGGCCCCACGCGGGCCGCGCTCCTCCTGCGCGCTGCCCCGTCCCGTGCCGTCCCGTGAGTGCGGGGCGGAGCCGGGCTCCGCGGGTGGCGGTGCGGGCGGCCGCCGGTGGCAGCGGGGCGGGAGGAGGAGCGCGCCTGTGCAGTGCCGGGAGGCCGGGCTCTGCCCGCCGCCGCGTTACACAACCGGCCGCCGCCACCGGCCTCTTCCCCGAGTCCCGCCGCAGCGCGCCGGCAGCTCGCACCGCCCCGCGCCCCGCCGCCCCCCGGCCGCCCCATGCCGTGCGTCCCGCTGGCAGCGGCGCCCCGGGCCGGGCGGTGACCCTCGAGGCAGCGGGGGCGACGCGCCGGGGCCGGGCATGGCACTGAGAGCGGCTCCGGAACGCGCGTCCTCCTCCCGGACGGTACGTACCCTGCGGGACCGCCGAGCGTCGGCGAGGGCGGAGGGTCCCCGAGCCCCTGCGGGGGAGCCCCGCTCTGCTCTGCCCTCGTCCGACACCCCCCGGCGGTCCCGGAGAAGTTTCGGGGAGATGGGAGATATCCAGCGGCAACTTACCGCCGAAGTCGTGTCGCGTTCCCAAAAAGCGGCGCGGGGCTGGGGCTGCAGCGGGAGGGGCGAGGGTGCGGGGAGCCGGTGGGGATGCGGGGAGCCGGTGGGGATGCGGGCTGCGCCGTCCTGCCGGCGGGAGTCCGTTCGCTGCAGGCTGCCGTGGGCTCCATCGGAGTTTCCTCGTTCTGCCGTAAATTTCGGTCAGTTTGGAAACGCGTTTTTCTGAAAATACGCTGAAGAACGGCTCCGAACTGAATCTCGCGCCTAACCGTAGAACGCAAAAGCCAGGTTGAAAAGTTACTCTTCTCACGGGGGCCGTGGGAGCACTCGGTTTTACGAAATGTTTCCGCGAGAAGCAGAAATTCGGGGGGATTTGAGAGCTCCTCGTGCGGTTCGCCCACGAATTGGCTTTGCGAGAGGTAATTCCACAGGCGGCCGGCGCTGGGCCGGGAGCGGAGCCGGTCCGCCCCGCTCAGGGTGCGCGGTGGAGAACAGCCAGCCTGCGCCGAGCCCTCCGTCGGGTGCCTCTGCGGAGGGGCTGAGCCCGTGAGGATGCAGCGGCCGCGGCCAGAGCCGCTCAGGTGCCCCGCGGGCAGAGCTGTGCCCAGCAAGGGCTGCCCCGTGTGCCGGGAGAGCGGCGGGGCTGTCGGAGCTGGCGGCGTGCGCTGTTCGGTGCGCGAAGAGCCGCTTTGCTTCTAGCAGAACGACGGCTCCCCTGTGTCCTTAATTTGCTGGATCGCTGCTCACCCATCCTCAACATGTGGATACGGGAACTTGCCTTAAAGGAGCAGCGTTTGTGGCTTGTGCGGTCTTCATAAGTCGGTCCTACGAGTGCTGCTTCATGAGGATGCAGTGTGAACCTCGTGTTCTCAGTATAGTGCAACGCCGTGTACCGTTTTGTTGGAGAATCTGTTCAATTTCTATACACTTCCCGAGCTGCAGCTCCTTGCTGTAGTTATCTGCTTGGAAAAAAAAAGCATTTAGGTTTCTGGTTTTCTGGAAAATACATTCCAAAACCAAGAGGAGACTTCTGTTGTGCACTGATTGGAGCAGATCAGCGTGTTGGTTGGTGATGTGGTGCGGAGGAGCAGAGCATCCTGAGCGCTGGGAGCGTGGCGAGGCTGCAGGGCTGCCCAAGTGCTGGCCCGTGGCACAGAGGGGAGGTTTGTGGGGAAGCCAGGTGGGGAGGCTGTATGAGTGGAAGGCATTGGTACCTCCTGGGCTGACCTTGTGCTCACTGCTGAGTCTTGAAAGTTTTTCTGGATGATGTTATAGGAAAAAGTAAATGGCTGTAAGAGTGGTTATTTCTGCCCTTCTGTTCGTTCAGAGCAGTGGCTTAGAATGATTTGATCTAGAAAAAAAAGTAGGATTGGTTTGAGTGTTTTTTTGCTAAACTACAAACTTCCGGGCAGAAAGGCCTGCAATGGTTCCTGTTTCTTCGCCACTCCATTTATATCTCAAATCATTTCACTTGTTGAGTACTCAAAAACAGCTCAAGGTTAAGCACTGAAAGTAGCGAGTGGGTAGGTCTTAATTAAAGTCGCATCGTGCTGGAAGCAGCATTAGATTTCAGAGATACTGCTGTCAATTCCAACTTCTGCTCATCAGTAATGTCAGAAAATGGTGCCATGTCCACAGTTTGGAAGCAGGGCTTGTCTATGCACACAAGTTGCATTGTTTTGTCCTGAATTATGCAACTGCCCAAGAATGATACAAAGGGTTTAACGCTGACATGGCGTGCTCCTTCTGAACTGGAGGAATGAGCTGTGTGCCTGTATGAGAATGCTGAATCCAGCTTGTGCTGGGGTAGTTAGGGACTCCTAGGGAATAACATCTTTAACCAAAGCAGTAAAATGCAAATCATGTGGAACAGTACTGCTGGTATTATTAAGGTGATCCAACTGTGTTTTCCTTACACACCTCCTGTTTCCTTGTTTCTCTGCTGTTTCTGTTTGTGTGCAGCCCGTGGCCTTGTGCCGAGCCAGCCAACAGAGCTTTGTCACCAAGGTCCCCCAAGCCCTGCAGTGCTGCACTGAGCCCCAGGTGGTGGCAAAGCCCCGTGCCAGCTGTGTCTGCAGCAAGCCCTGCCACCTCAGAGCCGTCGGGTTTGGTCAGAACACAGGGGCACGTGCAATTAATGAGGGAACTCAACCTACTTCATGTTCCATTATTGGCTTTGGCCTTGCCTACACAGAGAGATTACATCAGTTGACCTGAAGTCCATTTTTAAAGTGATTTGATTAACCTGATGTGACCTCACGCATGGGTGTTCTTATTTTGGTGTATATGAACTTATTTTGGTTTAACCAAAACCTGTCTTTTGTCAGCTTAGGCAGAACTGAAATAAACCATGCCCAAACTGAAAGGAGAACTTGTGTCTGTGTATAATGACACAACCTGTGCATGAAAGCGGGGCCTCCTGTAGGATCTGGAGCAGAGTGTGGTGTTCAACAAAGCTGTAGGAGACCAGCAGCTGTTTGAGGCAAAGTTAAAAACAAAACAAAAACGACGACGACAAAAAAAAAAACACCCCACAAATCAAACCAAACCAAACTAAGAAAAACTGAAATGTCTTGGTGAGATAAAGGAAGGAGTCCCAGTGATCTTGGTTTTGGGAAACTAAAAGCAGTGCACCAGGCTTACAGCAAGGCTGTCCTGGGGCTCCTCAGCTGCAGAGATGGGAAGTGTTTGCATCCTGTACTCACAGTCCCATTTCGGCTAAGAAATAGAAAAGTGATGCAGGGAATGCTAGGCGTGCTGGCCTGAATGCAGCAGTACATGGTGTCTCATGACATATTTTGTAGGAAAGAATAATTAGACATGGAAATAATGAGGAAGAAGAAGAAATTGCAGTGAGATTTCATCAAAGATGAATTGTGGCAGACTAATCTAACATCTTTCTTATATAACAGATTTCTTAGGTGGGGTAATGCAGGAATGTGATTTATGTAGAGCCAAGCACTTGATACCATGCCCCACAGGACACGGTTGCATAAAATGAAAGCGGTGGCTCAGTGCAGGAGCTGAGTGGTGGAGATGACCAAGCAGAAGGTATGGCAGCTATATCTAAATAAAGCTGTATGGATGGGGAGTGGTGCTCACAGAGCCTGGGAGGCACCGGCAGAGAGAGCACACAGCGCTGCTGCTTTGGGCCCTGCAGCGAGGGGGAGCACGGGGAGCTTGGGAAGATGGGGTCCGTACAGAACAGCACCAGGCTGTCGTGTCAAAGGAATTCAGATGACTTTGTTGATTGGAGTGATAGAAATGACGTGACGTTTAATAGCGCTGCGTGCAAAGCAGTGTCAAGTTTTGCACATATGGACCAACAAGAATTTCCAGTGTGAAGCAGAGCTCGCTGTGACGGGAGCAGGATGGAGAGACACGTGGCACTGGCTGGCCAGGGCTGCCTTGAGCAGGTGGTGGGACACTGCTGTCGGGGACACCATTTGTGGTGGAGAGTCACGGGGAGATTCCAGAAGGGTGGTTTTATCACTGTGCGAGAGCTTCCTGCTGCCCTTGCAGGAGCCCAATGGGATCTTGCTTAACTCTGGAGACCCAGGGCAAGAAAATGTTAAGTTAGAACAGTAGGAGGGCTAGAGGTGTGGTCACACCAACGAGCTCTCCATTGTATGACGTGAGAGTAAACAGCTTAATTTGTTTAGCTCCGGCCAATTGAACAAATGAGGGGACGGTTTACAATAAGTCTTCTTACGCACAGCTGGGACTCAATAGCAAGAAGGTGGAAAACCTGTGTAAGCCAAAAGTTAGCAACCACACAAGATTAAATTCTGTAAGTTGGTTGTGAGTGAATTTGCATGGGAAATTCGAAGAAAGCTTCCAACCACGTAAGAATTGAAGTTGTGTAATGGTCTTTCAATTAGGGTGGTTTTGAGATAGATCTTGATAATCTTATGAAGGAGATTACACAGTTAAATTGCAGAGAGAGTTCCTGGAGATAGGAAATTAAGTTCGCAGAGTTAGTCCTTTGGTCTCCGCTATTTTTGTATTTTTAATGTTAGGTTGCAAGGAGAGTGGACCTGGCTTTGTTGGTAGTGCTGCACTGACCCCACGCACCACGGCTTCTGCTGTGTTCTTGGGAGGTGGGGTGAACTTCCTCATGGGGTGTAACTTTGTTGTTTAGGGTGTGAGGACGTGTTCTGGGGCTCCTGGCTGAAGGCTGAGGAGATGCTGTCAAGTCAGCCCTAACAGCTCTGACTGCTGAGGCTGGAGAGCTGATCTTGATGTCCTCGCTGCTCCCTTGCTACCTGATGCTCCGAAAATTTGTTGCAAAGCTGGACTTACAGTGAGCGCTGTAAAAACACTATAAATTGTGCAAAAAAAATAGGAGGTTGTGGGCCATTAGGGATGAGTTGGTATTTTTAATGGGACAGTTCCGTTATAGGAAAGTCGATGTACAATAATGTGCATTTTATTACATTTTCATATTCCAAGAAAAAGAAAGGAAAGGGAAGACTAAAAGACAGAAAGCAAGCAGGAAAGCAAGAAGGAAAACAGCTTGACTTAGCCTGGAGCAGAGATCCCATAGCTGATAAGCTGCCTGTTAAGAGAAATTGAAATATGGAAAAATGACAGTGCAGATGAGGATAACACGGAGATTGCAGACGAGGAAGTGTGCTAACCCAACTGCACGGAGCTGCTGAAATGCGTTGGATCATCTGACTGTGCCTTGTATTCTTAGCAAACACGATTGTATAATTGATTAATTTGCCGACATTGCTGTAGCACAGCGCTATGGTAACTGAGAGGCTCCCCAAACACTGGCTGTGCTCTAGCAGAGCAGCAGCTCAGCACCACACAAGCATGCATGCCCTCTTCCCAGGTGGGATGGGCAGA